ACTGAGCTAAATCCCCAGCTCTGTACTTGTAATCTTATTGGCTGGTCATGGTGTTGCCCCACCTCATACCCACCTTGTAAATTTCCATTCGGTCTTACAGTTTTGTCCCACTTTGTACCCACCTCACTACCTGGCTGTGTTGTATAAAACATCTTTGAAAAGCAGGGTGAGTGGGCAGCCCACTTTCCAATTTCCCTTCTGTGTCTTAGACAGAAACTTTCTTTCTCAATGAATTTTCTTACTCTTAACCACCATTGTTCCTAGAATTTATTCCTCGATTTTAGAGAACACAGACTCCCGTTTCAGATATCTGACAGGTTTGGGAGTTACATCTCTTCCCCTTCAATCAACGTTAGCAAATACTATGCTACCTGGGTCCCCTGAAACACTACCAGAAACGTTTGTAGTCGGCTGTTCTCCTGCTCAGTGTATGACACAGGCCTGAGATTTAAATAAACTAAAAGATAGAACGAAGAGATGGACAGCGGGGCATCAGGATGACCCCAATGCCAGTGCAACTTGGCAAAGGCACAGGCCTGTCCAAGCCTCTGATTTGTATTAGTAATCAGTTGGGGCAAAAGCAAGCTACATGCAAAGGAATGCAGTCGTGCGGCTTCTGTGGAAATCAATGTAAACAAGGCTCATAAAGGACAAGGCAAAGTACCCTTGAATTAGGAGCAGAACAGACAAAATAGATGGTTGTGATTAGAACATTGCCCTTCAGTCTGAAGGTTTCAGTTACGGGCATGGAATTTGGGTGCCAGTTCCTCTGATCTCGGCACGTAGGCTTCAGCCGGCCTCGCTTCTGTGAACAGCCAGTCTCGGGGTTGGCTCTTCACAGCCCGCACTGCCCACAGCCTGCTTCGGGCACAGTCTGCGCTGCAGTGTCCTGTACCACGCCCTGAGTGCAATTTCTTTCCCTCTGGAAGAAGGAAGCTGCTTTCCCCCGTGTTGATGCCTGCATAGAAATCAGCTGATTCTTGAGCCAAGCATAAGGAAGACAGTTGGAGTCGGATCCAGATCTCACCGGCTCCCCGCTGGAGACAAGGTGCGTGCTCGTTCATTAATACTAGTAGGGCATCTACATTGTCACCGTTCCTATTTCAGGTGCCCCATCCAGACACCAACTTTCGACCCCTTGTCCTCCAGTTCCCAACAGCTAAACATGAGACATCCTTTCCACACCCTCACGTCCCTGGCCCTCTGACCCGTGTGAAGTTTCATGGCTGTTCTGATCTCTCTCGTGACTTTTCTTCTGGGTCACTTGCTTTAGGCAAAGCCATTTGCTGTGCCGAGAGGGAGCTCAGGTGGTGCCACTTCACAACCCTAAGCTCTGAGCAAAGGGCTTTGTGTTGTTGTTGGTCGCGGCGCTGGGGATTAAACCTGGGGCCTCACACATGCTAAGCCAGAGCCCTGTCGCTGGGCAGCATCACCAGCCTGATGTGCCGATGTGCTGGGCTTAGAGACAAGTCCCAGAACTAATCAGGACACTTGGACAGATCCCTCAGGAATGAGATTACTGCCCTCGTGAGACCGGGCTGGAAGGCTGGTGTGGTGGTGCACACCTGTAACCTCAGCACTCCGGGAGGCTGAGGCCTGAGGATCTTGAGTTCAAGTACAGCCTAGGCAATTTAGTGAGACTCTGTCTCAAAATGAAAAATAAAAGAGGAGCTGGGAATGTAGCTCCTTGGGAAGGCCCTAGGACCTGGAATTTGCTTTTCCTCAAACTGTGAGAAGGGTATTTCTGATATTCACACATTGCCCGGCTCAGGCATTCTGTGAGAACAGTTTGTGCTAAGCGAGGCCAGGGGGCCAGCAGGGCACCTCCGTCCCTAGGAGCATATTCGGAAGGCTATCTCACCCCAGCCTGCGGGTGGCTGAGCTCCAGCCAACAGCAAGCGTGTGACTCGGCCAGAACCCAGGAAGCCACCCCTGGGTTCCCACTCAGAAAACGGAAGGTCACAGATGCTTGCTATGCAAGCCGTGACGTTGTAACGTGGTTTCCCACACATTTTTATTCCCATGTATCTCCAAGGACACTTACACTCACCCAAGAACTGCTGTGCTCCTAGGAGAATTTTGCTTTACCCCTCAAGGCGGCCTGAGCTCACCGAGCCGAAACAGATGCGCCCCCACCGTGCTGTGTGTGTGTGTGGTAATCACACAATTGTCATCTGCAGACTTAGTCTCCCGCTTCACCTGACACCTGCCAAGTCACCCAACACGTCTTCAGTGCACTGGGATTTCTGTGATCCTGGCGGCACCACAAAGGGAGAGAGCTTAGGGTCCCAGCAAGTGCAACTCCTGCACTGACTCCGGCTCCAGCTCCATCACATCCCAAGAGCTTTGCCCAGAGCAAAGCTGTCGGTCACGCTGGCTCGGTAGGAAGGGTTTCCTCCCACAGTCGTGGTCTCCAGCCAGAGCCTCACTCCCCACGCAGTCCAGGCCCTGGGGTTGGAGTGGCCTTAGTCCCTCTCTCGTCTTGGGCCTTCGTTATCCTTCCCTTCACTCGGCTCGGCCAGTGTGTCCCAGCCCATCGTTTGTTTCTTTGAACCTTGAGGAAGGAGACGCAGTCCTAGTCCTTTTCCTGTCAGAAGATATCTCTCTTCTCATAACATTATAGATACTGAACAACATGTGAAAAATGTATTGTATGTTCTACCTGGCAGCTTCCAAGTCTCAGTGACATATTGGAAAAGGTGGTAACTAACTTCTTCCTTCAAAACGTCTAAGCCCTGGACTCCTGGCAAGCCAAAAATATCTCCAATTAAACAAAGTAATAGCAAAGAGTCTTTGGAATTAATGATATAGTTTGCCAGTTCTTCATGTTTGAGGTTATCATCCTTGTGTGGAATGTAGGCAAATGAAAGTTAATAGCATTATTTTTCTTCCTAACGATGAAGTCACCTGAATTTAGCCTTCAGAGTGGGAAGCGGGAGTCAATTCGAAGAGAGGAGCTGGCAAAGGCTCAGAGGCAGCAACCCTTTATCTCTGCACATAACTCTTGAGGACATCTTCCCCTGAAGGACTGGTCTGTCAAGAAATGTTCACATCTTTTCATCTTTGAAGGATCCTTGGTGACAGTGCCTTCAATTAGCTCTAAAAGTTTCTGTCCTCTGCCAAATTCTACTTCTTCCAACTGCAAGATGTATTATTTCCTATACCTATAGCAAAATGAAGCCAAACATACCTTTAACCAGTGTTATTCTTGGGTCCCTTATGCAGCTTGGCAAAGAGCTTCAAACACAATAATCAGCTTTTCAGGCTAAAGAGGGGAAACTTGGTGAGTACTCTTAATGGGAGACCTTTCTTCTGATTTCTCATTGTGGTTGGAGATAGAGGCGAGTGGCTTGGCTCTATCTATGTGAATTTAATTTGGCTGGACAATATTTTTGCTGGAAAAAAGAACAGGAAGGGACCCAAACAAATTATTCGGAAGGGGATTTAATTCTGTGAAACATGTACTTTATGTTTTCAAGGCTGCCCTCAGGCTGACCAGCTGTGTAAATCAGGGTAAGGCAATAAAAGCAAAGTTCTATTCAGAATTGAGTGGATTTCTGTAGAACACATGTCCTGAGGCAATTCTTTATTTTTTTGGAACCAGGGATCCAACTCTGGACCTTGTGTTTGCGAGGCAGGCGGTGGCACCACTGAGCTAAATCCCTGGCCCCTGAGTAATTATTACATGATTGGCTTTGATTGTCTTGGGGAAAATTTTGCTTCAGTGACAGAGCAAGATGGGTCTCCAAAGGCAAGATGACTCTCCAAGGCAAAATGGCTCCCAAAAGCAAAATGGCCCCTAAGGGCAAGATGGACTCCAAGCATGTGTTAACGGCAGAAGAAGCCATTTCTTTAATCTTCATTTTCTAAGAAGTCCTTGAAACTATTCAAAACTATTAATGCTAATTTTAGACTTTGATTAAAATATCCACATTTCTTCATTGGCTAAGGTGACAGTTTTATGTGCCATCTTGACTAAGTTTAGTACCCAGTTACTTAATGAAACATTAACCTAGGTGTTTCAGTGTAGGGATTTTGTCAATGTAGTTATTATCTGTAATCACTTGACTTTAAGAAAAGGAAATCATTTGAAACAATGTGGATGGGCCTTGCCCTATCTATTGTAGACATTAAAGAACAAAATTGCAGTTTTCTGGAGAAAAAGAAATTCTGCCTCAAAACTTTGGCAGACCCAAGCATGCTTAAACTCTTCCAGTCTTTTGCAAAAACTATCATCTTTGCTGCCATGGCCACCGAATGACATCTACCATCCTCATATTTATGAAGAAGCACTGGGCCGGTGTTCACTCTGCTCACCGACTAATCACATAGGCACACACAACTGAGGATTATAACTTCCACTCGGCTTCTGGGGGACAGTGAGCACGTGAAAGATGGCCTGGTGGCTCCCACCAGAGCCCCAGAGACTGCTTGGAGCCTGCGGAGGGAGCGAGACTTCGACTTTACAGAAAGTACATGGAGTATTCAAGAGCCAGGAGATGGAGATTTGATCCCAGTTTCTTGGCTGGATGGCCGTACCCAGGCCAGGCACCGAGCTTGTCTGAGAGGGATAATGAACAGCGACACCACCCCACTGCTTACCCTTCACCCCCGCACCTGCCCTTATGCTCTCTGCAGCAAGCTCTACCTCAATGTGAGTTTGTCCCCTCTGACCTGGTCCCAGGCACTTAACAACCCATCTGGTCTTTCTGCTAGAAAGGTCAAGGTGCAGCACCAAGAGGGAGTGGAAGGAGCTTCCTGCCTGTGTTGGAGATGAGGAAAGCCAGCAAGATGGGACCCACAGAACCGAAAGCTCTTGGCCAAGGAGGACCCTATCATCCTTGTGACAGTCTGAGGTCTCAGGAGGTGGTAAGCAGGGTCAGGTCCTGTCCTGCCCCTCACAAGGCTGCGCTTTGGCAAAGTTGCTTAATACCACTAATGGGTAAAAACAGGAATTTGTTCTAAGGGCACTTTACCCAACGTCTGCTCTTCTGAATATGAATATTTTCCATAAAAACAAAGAAAATCTGAGAACCTTAAATTTTCGGAGGAGTTTAGCTACACAAAATGGAAAGCAAATGTGTGTTAAGCTCGGAACAGCAGGCAGAGCACATGACACTTCCTGTGGCTTTGCTTCTGTTGCTGGTGCATGAGGATTTCAGGCAGTGGTCGGAGGAGTTTGCTCTGGGGAACCTTGCAACGAGTAACTGGGAAGTGCTGTTTAATTCTGATGCTCTCCTGCAAAGCCGGGAGGTTGCCAAGGGAAAGGACATTTGCCAGGTGCGCAAAGGACGCCCAGCGTGGAAGTCTCCCACCCTCTTGCACCTCCTTCCAGGCCATCACGCCATCACCTCCTCTGTTGTCTGTCCACAGTGTGTCCTCCGTCCTACCTGAGAAATTCACCTCCAGGCCAGGACCTCTGCTCCCAGCCCTCGTGGACGGCTTCCTTCCTTCCTTCCTTTCTTTCCTTCCCTCTTTTTCTTTTCTTTTCTTTTGAAATTCTCCTTGATCATTGCTTTTATGGTGGAATCATTGACACTCTTAACTAGCGAGGGCTTGGCAGGCCTCCCTCCCTCCGCCTTCTCTTCGTTACCTTTGTGCCACAGGTGCCGCTCCTTCACTGGGAAGCTAATCAAATTATGTCTTCCCCTTCTCAAAAATCTGCAAAGATCCCAGATGGTCAGAGAATAGAACTTTAAATCCTTTGAAGTCACTTATGGTCTGTGCCTTCACTTATCTTCCTTTGCTGCCCCAAGCTCTTGCTTGTTAAAATGTCCTATCTGGGGACTTCTCACCTCTGTCCACATTTTCTTTCCTTGTGATTCCTCCCTCTTAGCTCTTCATTCCCATCACTCCAGACCAAGCTCTGGCGCCAGCCCTTGGGACCCTTCCTTCCTGGCCTCATCCAGACTCGCGCCTGTCTCTCGTTTGCCAGCAGCACCTCTCACACCTCACGCCCCACCTGGGGTGTGAGGTCACACGGCCCTCGCTCAGGGGACAGGCAGGCTCATACGCTGCCGCAGCTGTCACGTCTGTGACACCAGCCAG